GGCGGGCGGCGTCGAGGGCGCGGGCGACGGCGGGCGGCGTCGACGGCGGGCGGCGTCGAGGGCAGGCCTTCGGCGCGGCAGAGAACGAGCGGAGAAATGGAGGCGACGGGTCGGGCGCACGTATTTATAGCCCCCCCCTTTAGTCGCGGTTGGGGAGGCGACCCGCGACTAAAGGGCCTTTAGTCGCGGTCGGGGAGGCGACCCGCGACTAAAGGGCAACCTTTAGTCGCGGTTGGGGAGGCGACCCGCGACTAAAGGGGAACCTTTAGTCGCGGTTGGGGAGGCGACCCGCGACTAAAGGACTTTTTCGTTCCCGCGCGCAACCACCTTTAGTCGCGGTTGGGCAGGCCAACCGCGACTAAAAGTATTTTCCAAATACTTTTTCTTTTTCAAAATGTTAAAAATACAAATAATATATCAAAAAATTCAGAAAAATAAAACTAATTCAATTCAAAATTCTAAAAATACAAATAATATATCAAAAAATTCAGAAAAATAAAACTAATTCAATTCAAAATTCTAAAAATACAAATAATATATCAAAAAATTCAGAAAAAAAACTAATTCAATTCAAAATGTTAAAAATACAAATAATATATCAAAAAATTCAGAAAAATAAAACTAATTCAATTCAAAATTCTAAAAATACAAATAATATATCAAAAAATTCAGAAAAAAAACTAATTCAATTCAAAATGTTAAAAATACAAATAATATATCAAAAAATTCAGAAAAATAAAACTAATTCAATTCAAAATTCTAAAAATACAAATAATATATCAAAAAATTCAGAAAAATAAAACTAATTCAATTCAAAATGTTAAAAATACAAATAATATATCAAAAAATTCAGAAAAAAAAAACTAATTCAATTCAAAATGTTTCGTCAAGGGTAATATAATTCACATGATCCATTCACGGGTAATATAATTCACATGATCCATTCAACAAAGTTTGGTACAATAAATTATTACACATCATTTCTTCCCTTGTGTCCCTGCTTGCTTACGATTGTGCCGTATCCATGGAGCATCCTCATCATTTAACTTAATGCTTGGGTCGGTGTTCACTTTGAAGGGCGGAATTTCAGCAAACATATTATAATCTTCTGACATGTCTGTCTTGTCCTCCACTCCCACGATGTTTCTTTTCCCTGAAAGAACAATGTGGCGCTTTGGATCATCGCATGATGTACTGATCGTTTTCTTATCTTTCCGTTTCCTCGGTTTGCTACTCATGTCCTTCACATAGAAAACCTGAGCGACATCTTTCGCTAGGACGAATGGTTCGTCAAGGTAACCAAGATTGTTGAAATCCACCATTGTCATTCCGTATTGCTGGTCCACCTTTACCCCACCTCCTGTTAGCTTGAACCATTTGCAACGGAACAAAGGGACCTTAAAGGAGGGTCCATAGTCAAGTTCCCATATCTCCTCTATGTAACCATAATACAGGACCGAGAACGAAAATCTCTTCGACTAGGTGAACCAGGAGGTGCGTCATAATATTGAAGAAGGATGGCGGGAACACCAACTCGAAACTGACAAGACATTGGATCACATCGTTCTGTAACCGTGGTAGAACTTCTGGATTGATTACCTTCTGAGAGATTGCATTGAGGAATGCACATAGCTTCACAATGGCTACTCGAACATTTTCCGGCAGGAGCCCCCTCAAAGCAATCGGAAGCAATTGCGTCATAATCACGTGGCAGTCGTGAGACTTCAGGTTTTGGAACTTTTTCTCCGCCATGTTTATTATTCCCTTTATATTGGACGAGAATCCAGACGGGACCTTCATACTGCTCAGGCATTCAAAAAAGATGACCTTCTCTTCTTTGGTCAGAGCGTAGCTGGCACGACCTTGAAACCATTCCGGATGCCGGTCATCAGGGTCTTTCAAACGTTGCTGGTCCTGCCGTGCTTCCTTTGTATCATTTGTCTTCCCATACACGCCCAAGAAGCTTAGGAGGTTCACGCAAATATTCTTCGTAGCGTGCATCACGTCGATTGCAGAGCGGACATCTAGGACTTTCCAATATTCTAGCTCCCAGAATATAGATTTCTTCTTCCACATGGCTGCGTGCCCTTCAGCTCCCTTCGAAACTGATTGTCCGCCAGGACCCTTTCCAAAGATGACTTTCAAATCCTTGACCATATCAAATACCTCAGCACCAGTGCGTTCCGCAGGCTTCGGCCGGTGATCTGCCTTGCCGTTGTAATGCTTGCCTTTCTTTCTTACTGGATGAATTTTCGGAAGAAATCGACGATGCCCAAGGTACACGTTCTTCTTACAATTTGGCAAATGTACACTTTCAGTCTCATGTAAGCAGTGCGTGCATGCATTGTATCCCTTATTTGACAGTCCCGAAAGGTTACTAAGAGCAGGCCAATCGTTGATGGTTACGAAAAGCAACGCTCGTAGGTCAATTTCCTCTTGTTTGTGCTCATCCCACACACGGACACCACCCCACAGCTGTAAAAGTTCATCAACTAATGGCCTTAGGTACACATCGATGTCGTTGCCGGGTTGCTTCGGACCTTGGATGAGCACTGGCATCATAATGAACTTCCACTTCATGCACAACCAAGGAGGAAGGTTGTAGATGCATAGAGTCACGGGCCAGGTGCTATGGCTGGAGCTCTGCTCGCCAAAAGGATTCATGCCATCCGTACTTAGAGCAAATCTTATGTTCCTTGCGTCAGCTGCAAAATCTTTGAACCATCTGTCGATCTTTCTCCATTGCGTTCCATCTGCGGTGTGTCTCAACTCCCCGTCCGACTTACGGTCCTCTTTGTGCCATCGCAACAACTTGGCATGCTCTTTGTTCCTGAACAGACGTTTCAACCGTGGTATTATAGGAGCATACCACATCACCTTGGCGGGAACCCTCTTCCTGGGTTTCTGGCCCTCAACATCGTCACCAGGGTCATCGCCTCTGATCTTATAACGCAATGCAGTGCATACCGGGCATTCATTCAAATTCTCGTATTCACCACGGTAGAGGATGCAGTCGTTGATGCATGCATGTATCTTCAGAACCTCTAAACCTAGAGGGCAGACAACCTTCTTTGCTTCGTACGTACTGGCGGGCAACTCGTTATCCTTTGGAAACATATTCTTCAACATTTTCAGCAAGTTTTCAAATGCCGAGTCAGCTACACCTGCCTCTGCCTTCCATTTCAGCAAATCCAGTGTGCAACCCAGCTTTTTCAGACCATCATCGCATCCGGGGTACAGCGCCTTTCTGTGATCCTCTAACATGCGATCCAAATTCTCCCTCTCCTTTTCAGTTTCGCAGCGTCTCCGTGCATCAGCAATGGTCCGACCAAGATCATCAACGGGATCATCACGTGCCTCTTCTTCACCTTCCCCTTCACCTTCAGCATCCTCCATGAAAGTATCACCGAAATGAGCAAGATAGCTTTCATCGATGAAATCATCCCCTTCTTCATCTTCTTCCATTATAACCCCTGTTTCTCCATGCTTGGTCCAACAATTATAGCTTGGCATGAAACCGTGCCGAAGCAGATGCATGTGAACATCTCTTGAGGAAGAGTAACCCTTCTGATTCTTACAGATAACACATGGACAGATAACAAAACCCCCTGCTTGTTCGCATTAGCCACTACGAGGAAATCTTTCAAACCCGTAGTGAACTCGCCGGAGAGTCGGTTACCGTACATCCATTGCCGATTCATCTGCATTATTATAATATAAAATATATAATTAACCATCATGCATTTGTTAAACTAACTAGCTACAAACAATATAAATTAAACAATGAACTGCACACATGCATATTTTATCAATGACACACATGCATGAAAGGTTCAAGTTGCTAACCGCGATCGAGGAGGAAAAAATAAATGAGGAACCTCAAGTGTGGCTCCAACACTTCATATCATGTTTGTTTCACCCTCTTAGGGCATTTCATCAAACACCTTGTGTGCATAAGAGGAACCAAAAGCAAACCTACCCCCCCTTGTGAAGCTTGTGAAGAGAAGTGGCACCAAATGGCTAAGTGAGCGTGCTGAACTGGTATATATAGGGGAGGAGCTTTAGTCGCGGTTGGCCTGGCCAACCGCGACTAAAGGCCTTTGCGCACCTTTAGTCGCGGTTGGCCTGGCCAACCGCGACTAAAGCCCCTCACGTGCACCAGCTGGCCACCGAGCGCCCTGGGCCCAGGCCTTTGGTCGCGGTTCGTCTGCCGAACCGCGACTAAAGACTTCATTAGTCGCGGTTCCTACAGTTTCGCGACTAATGGGGCTGGACGGAAGCCTCTTTTTCTACCAGTGCCGCCACATTCGGCCACTAGCATCACCTCTCCACATTCTAGTACATGCCACTAAGCCATGCCTTATCCTTCTCCTCGAATCTCTCTAGGAGCAACAAGACGTGGCCGTGCTGCTAACAGACCCATGCATGCGTTAACAAACTCCCAGATTTTCCTCTAGCTATTTTGTCCAGCCAGTCAGGTTGGTAGTATACGACAACCGAAAGTAAAGATATCACCTAGAAGTCCCAAAAAGTACAACGTCTCAATCATGACCGCGTTAGGCTGGTCATAGTGGAGAGTAACTTAGACTAGTAACATGCATATGTTACTAGTCTATGTTACTACATTCATAGTGGGTAGTATCATATATATGGTAACATAGATGTCTTCATTTATTACTTTGTAGACTCATTTTGCATTGGGAAGCGCTATGTGATGGTAACATATTATGTTACTCTATTTGCCTCTCTCCTCATTAACTACTTGCCACCTCATCATTTTTGCTTATGTGGCATGTAAGTTACTACCTATGTTACTCCCACTATGACAAGCCTTACGCACTTGCTGCATCACTGCAGCCTCACGTCGCCATCGTCACCTCGTCGTGCACGCCGTCTCACACGGCAGGCCGGCAGCTCGCCTCCTCCGCACGTCATCGTTGAAGCTTCACCGGACAAACAACACCCTAGACTAGAGTACATGCAGAACAAAAATAGTCACGCACATAGATATGACAAGATTAGTTCTAACAGTCATGTCCCTAATCTTGTCATGCCAACTCGCCAAAACCTCATTCGGATCACCTGCAACACCTTGCTGCCGTGGATGATGCCGTCGCAACTCCAATCACCATGACATCTTGCTGCAAGCAGCGGCCACCTCTTGACGTGGATGACACCTTCACAGCGCCCGTCACCACATCGTAGTTCGATTCATTTTGCGGATGGCATCAGACCACCATTGAGGACACCATCGACCAGTTCATGCTGATCCTCAGCGGCATCGCGCCGCTCTCTCCTTGTAACAGCATCACACCATCGTCGTGGCGGCGTCACGACGCCATCTCCTCCAAATGGCATCGCACCGCAACCAGCTATTGGCGGCATCGCACCACCGATAGCCTCCTTCTCGCGCCGCCGGCCTCCATCTCTCGCATGGAGTCCGCCACGCCATTGTCATCGGATCGACAAGGCTCTGCTATCAATTGTTGGTGCCGCCTCCTCGCACCACCGGTCTTCTTATTCCTCTTGGTTGCCTCACACAACTCTCTCTTGTTTCTTTGTTTCTCTCAAGATCACGAGGACACACACCGGGGCAGAAAACACAAACACACACACACACACACACACACATTCACCAGGGAGAAAAATTAGCTTTGCCTTTGCTCCCGATGACAATCACAGGCGCTACATGGTTTCCTTCAGCCCTCACGGCCTCGTCATTTTCTCATTAACCAAAGCAGTACATATACACAAGGACCTGGCACTTATGCCACACACTCACGCAGCGGAGCTGCCACATTTGGCCACTAGCACCACCTCTCCACATACTAGTAAATGCCACCAACCCATGCCTTATCCTTCTCCTGGAATCTCTTTAGGAGCAACAAGACGCGGCCGTGCTGCTAACAGAGTAACAGACCCATGCATGCGCTGACAAACTCCCAGATTTTCCTCTAGCTATTTTGTCCAGTCGGTCAGGCTCTAGTCTCTTACGCACTTGCTGCATCATACAGCCATGCCGCCTTGTGCATCACTGCAGCCTCACGTCGCCATCGGCATCTCGTCGTGCTCGCCGTCTCGCACAGCAGCCCGGCATCTCGCCTCCTCTGCACGTCATCGCTGAAGCTTCACCGGACAAACAACACGCTAGACTAGAGTACATGCAGAACGAAAATAGACATGCACATACATATGACAAGATTAGTTCTAACAGCCTCTATCTCCACCATTTTCAGTGTTAGGTGCACTAAGCACTGCTGCGAGGGTGACATCCTTCATTTTCTTCTTCATGTCTGGTTAGTTGTTAAACTTGTTGTCAGTTTCAGTGAATTGTTCTGAACTTGTCGTGAGCTTGCTCTCAAACATGTATATTTTGCTCGCGGATCAGCACCCTTGGGTTGTGTAGGGGCATGGAATGCCCCTCTATCTTAAACTGATGTTAGTTGGTATGATGCATTGTTTAATAATGTGATAATGACTAGGCGAAATGTTAATTGTGTTGTGTTGTTAATATGTAATGTCTAATGTGAAGTGTTTTGCATTTGGGTGGTAAGGCCTCCACATTTGAAAGCGATGAGCAGAACAACTATGTGCACACAACCAAAAAGATGTGGTTTGCATCTGCTCACCCCTCAACATGGGCATGGGCAGCCCGACCTGGTGACCTAGCCCGAAATTCCTGAGTCGGGCCGGGCCTGCATACTTTGAAAATCAGTATTTCAATGTTAGTAGCAAATACACCTTACTGTAACATCAGATCATCTATTTCACTCCAATCAGTGGAGAGCTTGCGGCTGTCATGCAGGGAACACAACGGGGCTGAATCAAGGGACGTAGCCTCATCTCCACTTGCATAGAGCGGGACCCAAAATGGAAGATCCCTCTCCCCTTGATGTCACTCCTATTCTTTTCTTGCTCATCTCCGACACGCTAAGGAGTTGTGCTTCGCAGCAGCGGCGGATCTTGTACAGGCGTCCACGGGAAAGAAGATTAGCACTAACAGGAATAATAATTAACCAGGAACAAAAACAAAATAATTTAAGTAATTTGGTGCATTACAATTTATTATTATCTTTGTTGGGCAGCCAAAATAACAATGCATTACTTTTCTTTTCTTCAGAAACAACACTTTTGGCAATAGAAAAACAAATAATAGTAGAAATAAATTAGAACACTTTGGCATTCTTTGTGTTCTTGACCTGGCAGCAAGATAAAAGCACATGCTTGACCTGGCAAAATAGAACTGGCAAGATACTAAGACGCACAACATAAGCTAATCAGCAGTATAACCGTTACAAAGTGAGAAACAAAAATGACATTATCGAAAAAAAAGAGATGCAATAATCCTAATGAAATAACCACATCAATAAACCAAACATGATAGCGTAAGAAAATGGATGAGCACTAGCCTTTTTCTTCTCCGTGTTTATCCATGGAAGTCCAAACCACTAAATTTGATCAATTGGCTCCCTGAGTTGCGACACTAAATGAAAATCTATGTAATCTGAGCTACACAAATGGCATAGATTTTTTTGTAGTGTCATAAAGACTACCCCCCCGGATGTAGTCTGGTTAACCACATCGGTAAACTAAATATGTTAGCTTTGTGGTAAAAATTTAAGAAAATGATGACTGCATCCAGGGAGGACCAATGGATCGGAAGCTCACCTCAACCAGCCTCAAACCTGGCAGTCGACTTCACATCCAGGCCGAGGAAAGATCAACGGTGCCCTCGCTGGACTCAGTGGCCGAGGAGGGTGGCCTCGATCTTGAGCAAGGAGGAGCGGTGGTGGGGCGGGGCAGCCAAGTGTGCGCCACTTCCTTCTCTGCACCGACACGGAGCGGGAGGAGCTATGGTATGTTACTAAACATCATAGTGCCGCAAATAGTACATGCCACGATATTTAAACCTACAAGGAGCACAACGAACCCTCAAACATAATTGTCTGTACATCATAAAAAACAATAGTGTTAGTCAAAGCAAACAAAATGGGCATTTCAGACACTACAGGCTACAGCCACTAAAAATGTACAGAATATTTACCCCCAAAAAAGTACTTAGTGGAATATTTTGGCAAGAAAATGTACTTGACCAGGCGATTCCACGCTACACTCCAAGCACACACGCTAATTGCTAAGTTACAAATCATATGCTGTCAAAGTAGATTGTCATTTTCCCCCTTGATATCCTTCATTAATCAAATGGTCCATGTGCTCTCTCTCTCTCTCTCTCTCTCTCTCTCTCTCTCTCTCTCTCTCATATTAGTGATGGAAATGATCAAAGAGAACAAAATAAGACCTAAAAAGCGCTCATCAGGAAACAAAATACATACAACTCCATGTTTCCTAAGGTACTATCAAGCAAGGAATGAAACTAAGTTATCAAATGCTAGTTTGTGGATTAAATCATCATGAAGCATATGCTATAGGATCGAGAACCCTGTCGTACCACCTGACCTAATGACAAAGAAATACACGAAGAAACAGTAAGTACCTCAATCCTACCATGCCAGCCTGCATCCATGTGCAGCAAGAACAACATGACCTTTCTGCAACCATATTTGGACCCCACACTAAAGTTTTAACCAAGTAAAAAGAGTATGAGAGATGTTACAACCATGGCCTCACCTACATGAAACTGAAAAGTATCACTTCCTGCAGTTATGAATTGAATATAAAGAAAGATGCAGCCATGCCAATATTGTAATTGGTACATCCACCTAATTAATTAGAAACCTAACGTGAGAACAGATAGAGAGAGAGAGAGAGAGAGAGAGAGGTGAACCTCGAGCAGCGTCTCAAGTAGCAGGATGCGCTCCTCTTCGCGAAGAAGGATCTGACGGGAGAGTGACGCATCGAACGCCTGCGCCTCGGCACCCGCTGCTCCTGGCTCGAGCCGACGGTTCTTCCTCCACTAGATGTGTCCATCTTTGGATGATGCGTAGGGAGGGGGGCTCGGTCCCTCGCTGCCATCACACCTCCGGCGAAGGAAGAGCCAGCCGACGCCTCGAGAGGAGGACCGACGGGGACGGAGGCGGTAGCGCGAGGTCTATGGTCAGGCAAGAGGTCACTGACGGTGTCCTGGACTAGGGGGTACTCACCACGTCGTCTCCCGACCAGCTGGATTGGGCCGAGGACCCCCCATGGCGGTTCACTCATGTGCCACATCGGGCAGCCCATGGTGCATACAAGGAAGATCCCACGAGACTTGGCGCACAAGACGAGGACTCTCCTAAATCCTAGGCCTCTGGTGTGTTATATAAACCGAGGCCAGGCTAGTCAATAGACAATCTAATATTCATTACTACAATCTCGTGGTAGATACATGTACTCTGTACAACACCCATATCAATACAATCAAAAGCAGCATGTAGGGTATTATCTCTTTGAGAGAGCCGGAAGCTGGGTAAAATCCCATGTCCATATTACCATCACTCCAAGACGCCTAGCTTAGCACCCCTACTACGAGATATGCCATATATAGAACCGACATTGGTGCTTTTATTGAGAGCCTGCTAGGCGATCGTCACGGTTCGATGGGTCTTCTACCGACGCCAAATCAGGTGTTATAATTTCAGTTTATTTCGTTTTACATAGATCGGTTTGTTTGCGAATTATCTACGTCGCCGTGTGCAATTCTTTTACAGATCAGTTTTTGCCCTCGCCTGGAACTGGAAGTCGGGATCAAGAGATAGTCACGCAAACGCCGCACACCCCGATCTCCACTGCGCAATCTGTGCGATGCACATCGAGCTGAGGCATGTTGTCCTGTCGTGTTTCTTGGGCCCACTTGTCCGCTTAGGATCAAGTGAAAGTGCCGTACACGGAGATCAGGATAAACAGTAGCGTATGTGGCTGTTTTCGGAGACGCCAGGTTCTGTTCGGCAACCGACAAGAAAATCAGATCCGGTGCATTGCTGCAGCCTCACGTGGACAGATTATTCAAAGCTATCCTTTCTGCCCCAAAAT